GCGATGTGTGCTGCGCACTGCCAGGCGGTGCGTGCTGCTGTGCGACGCTGCCGGGTGGTGCGTACTGCTGTGCGGCTTGTTGTGCGTGTCGCTACCTGTGACTACACCGCAGTGTGCTGCCTGGCGGTGTATCCATAACACAGATGATCTTGTATTATTTGGATGGGCTTCTCTATTAGAGATGAATGAGGTGGTTAACATTTTGGATGAGTTTGGGAGATGTTCTGGACAGGAGGTTAATTATGGAAAATCTGGTATTTTATTTAGTAAGAATTTACCGAAACGAGAAGGGAGGTTAATTGCTCGAAGTTTAGGTGTGGTGAGACTAGGTCGACGGGCAAGATACTTGGGGATGCCTCTTTGTATTGGACATCGAAGGACTAAAAGCTACCAAGAAGTTGTGGATACGGTAAAGACAAGACTGACTGGCTGGAGGGCAAATTGTTTATCACAGATGGGGAGAACAGTGTTGATTAAAAGTGTGCTGTCAGCTTTGCCTACATATACTATGTCAGTTCATCCTTGCCAACCCAAACCTGTTCTAACATTGAAACCACTATGAAATCTTTCTTTTGGAATGGGCATTCAGGTCCAGGTACTGATCTGCTATGGCAGAAAGCTTGTAGGCCAAAGAGATGTGGGGGATTGGGAATTCGGAAGATGAAATTATTCAATAATGCATTATTGGCCAAAGTTGGTTGGGGACTTATGAAAGAGAAGGAGTCCTTCTGGAGTAAACTGTTAATAAAGAAATGTGTTAAAGGCGCTGATTTCCTAACAGTCTCTGTGGGGAGTAGCAACTCACCTTTTTGGAAAGGTCTCTGTAGGACCCGTAATCTATTACAAAGAGGTTGTTGTAAAAGGGTGGGGAATGGGCTTACTATCAAAATATGGGGTGACCCTTGGTTGCCTGACTTAGAAGGTTTTATATTGCAGAGGCCAACAGAAGAGATTCATGATGGGGTTTCTTATGTTGCTGATCTTTTTACACAAAGCGGGCTATGGAACATGCAACTTATTTCTTCTATATTCCCTTTCGACGTTCAGCAAGCTATTACAAGAATTGGATTACCAAAGTATACTTCACAAGAAGATGAGTGGATCTGGACTTATGAGAGGGATGGAAAGTTAACTGTTAAATCAGTTTATAACTTGTTGATTGGGAGTTGCATACATGAACAAGTTAATATTACAATGGTGGAGGAAATTCTGGAAATTAAATTTTTATCCTCGAATTCAATTACTTATGTGGAGACTGGTGCAAGGGTTAATTTTTACCAAAGACAGATGGTGGGGACAACATGTTGACAAGAGGTGTGCTTTTTGTGCACAAGAAGAAGAAACACTTGAGCATTTATTTTGGTGGTGCAGTTTCTCAAAGGCTATCTGGTTTGGTAGTATCGGTTGGAGGCCGGATGGGGTAAGGGAGAACATAATTGCTGAATGATTAACAAATAGTGTTCAGCGAGCGAGTCTAATAGCAGATACAGATGTTTTATTGTTGCAGTCGCAGGCTCTAGTAATATGGATGATTTGGCTAGCTAGGAATGATGTTATGTTCAATGGTGTTACGATTGTACCAGAACGAGTAATTGATAAAATAAGAAAATTTAGGATGGAGTTAGTGGGGCTACAAGCACATGTAGGGGATGGGTTACAAGTTCAGTATGAGGAAGACAGACAAATTAGCCAACATTCGGATGTGAGGATATTTTTTGATGGTTCATATAAAGATGGAAGGGGAGCAGCGGCTTGTGTAGCAGTTGATGGCGATGGATGTTTCATAATGGCCAAATCATGTTTAGTGCTTGGAGGGGATGCAGAGATGGTGGAGATGGAAGGAATGTTATTAGCTGTGAAGGTGGCTAATCGGATTCGACGAGGAAATATGCTTATTCAGGGCGATTGTCTATCCGTCATCAATCTTATGAAGTCAAAAGATCCAATTGCTCCATGGCAATGGAAACATCTTCATTTGGATGCCCGGCAAATAGTATCAGGTTTAGATTATGTTTCTTTTTTCTCTATAATATTAGGTACGCAAAAAAGCGCATTTGCATGAAAGCAATTCAAAATAGACAACAGGCATAACAACCCACCCGCTCTCAAAGCTAGCAAGTCCAACATCTTGCATGAACATATTCTATCATTTTTCTTTTCTGTGTGTACGCCGAATGAAATATATAAATATATAATAATCAGATTTGGACTGAAAGCACCACTGTACCAGTATGCTTGTTGGAAACACAAGGGCTGAACTTGTGGAGTTCAGGGCCATTTCACTGGATTAATCTCTTCAAGAATGGTCAGCAGCAGCAGTGAGAGCGGGAGTTGACCCCTTGTCTGTGGGGTCATGAACATTTTGCTAAGGAGTAAAGTTAAGATTCCTCCCCCGACGAAATGGTCAGCAGCAGCAGTGAACCTTCAAGGCAGGAGTTGACCCCTTGTCTGTGGGGCATGAACACTGCGTGATCGTGACTTCCATCATCCAAAAGTGTTCGCATTAACTCAACTCTTGAACTCTCATCTTGGAAGAAATACTGTTTTTTTTTTTTTTTGGTAAAAATGAAGAAATACATGTAACATGAGAAGAAACGCGTATACAAGGATAAGAACACAAGGGTGCTTTTACCAGGGTTGAGAATGACTGATGACAAGAGTTGGAAGGTGGTCAACAAAATCAACCTCCTTCATACCCTAGTTCTTAGAAAAGTGATAAGAGAATAAAATTTATTGACAGAGAAATATGCACGTACTATGTGGTATGTGAAGTTTGCAAGGAGTTGCAAAAAGGTTTGAACCACAAACCTGAACCTGAAACAATCGTTAGGTCCAGATCCACATAGCATGGAAATATCCATATTCAAGATGACCCAAGTATTATAAGCAATATAACGGATACAGGAAATGTTAATGGTAAAGACAAAGTGAAGAGACATGACCTGGCCATGATTCTTTGAAACAGAATCGGATGATCAACAATGACAATATCCTGCATAGAGAAGCAACACATGACTATTCTAGGAAAAAGTAGAAAAGTTTTCATTTGATTTTATCATCTCAAAATTACAAAGTAAATTCATATAAACATTTATAATTTCAATTTTTTCCAAAAATCAACAAGAAAAGTTACCAAAACCTATGTTACAGAATTTCAATGGGGGGAAAACCCACTTAATTGCAGAAGATCATATTCAGAAGGATTCAACATTTTATTTCTTAAATAGAAAACACAAGCCAATGCATCAATTGCCCAAAGCAGCTAAAACCTGAAGAAGGGTTTTGAAGATATCAAAAGAGCATCAGTCATTTCAGATTATAATTCAACAACCTTTGCAAGCAAGTCCATAGATGCAGAAGTTCAAATTCATACAAAAAAAGAATGGATTAGATTCATTTAGGAACAATATGAGAAACAGTACATATGCTGAAATCCTAGGTTAATGGGCACCTGGTCTCACTTATGCTCAAGAGAAGAGCAGTTTGAAGTGCATAAGGCTGCCTGAATGTTACAAAGGCTTACTGTAATTGAGCTTGATTTCTGTCAATTGGAAGCTTGTGACCATCAAAAAGACAGCAAAAGAATATTTCAAGCAAACAAATAGAAGAGAAAACAATATGGATCACCTTTACAAGTCGATTTTATTAATAGTTCCATAGTCGAAGAAAGTATGAGATCTTCAATTCTCACAATAGGGGGAAAGGTCAAGTGCCAGTAATGGTTAGATATAATATACCCAAAGGCAACAGCTCTACACCTTGTTTCCACTAAACCCTACTTTTTTTCTGTATAGCAGAAGCAAGCAAAAAGGGCTGAATTTATAGTTTATGAATAAAAGGAGCTTTTGAAATTGTTCTTTATCTAGCCAAAGTTCTCCTTTCTTGAAAATGTAAGATTAATAACTTCTAGTAAATTCTGATCCAGAGACTTGAAATCCCCCTTTGCTCATTGACTGCAATAAATGGGGGAAAAGTTGACAACTTGACATCTAATACCTTATTGATATTCTAGATAATGAGATGCATATGCACATACATGTTCATTGAACAGGACCCATCCAATAGAAAGCAACTACATGTCTCCTAGCCCAATCAAAAAAGGAAATCCTCACACATAGTAAATAGATTATTGGATGATAATATGAGGCTAAGAGCCTCAGAAACTCCCATATCAGATGGTTAGTATCCCATCTGGCTGGCCTTGGATTTTTATGAGATCCTGCAGGTAAGAACCATCAGTTAGATGATCTATATATCCTCATATGGACTAGGCAAAATAAAAATATCAACTGAAGAAGGGTTTAAAAGTACACCTAATGACATGTACAGGAATAGCAACTCAAGAATATAGTATATCGAACTTTTCCTCATAATTTACCTGTTATATACATTCTAGATTAAGGAAATACATGTACAAAAGACCCAAGAATTCCTATAGCATTAGGTCTCATGGTTTAACTCTGCATCCTCTCAAAATCAAGAAGAGTACCCATATAAAAAAGAAATAACTAGAAAAAAATGAAGGATTTTAACATGCTATTAGCAACTTTTTGTGAGTTGCCTCTTACCTTGTCTAAAACTTGACTGAAGATTCTGCTTTCCTCCACTGAAGAAGAGAGAATTGTTTTCAAGAAGTGTCAGAAGTTGCCTAATGCTCTCAAAACCTGTTATCTCCAGTTATTACAAAAAAAAAAAAAAGAAAGAAAAAAAAATAAAGAAAGAAAGAAAGAGGAGGGGGGAAGTAGTCCTCAGAAAAGATGCTGGGAGTTAACTGTGCAATAGGGAGCTGAAATACCAAAAATTTACAAGTTTTTGTCAAAGAATCAAGTGAATCTGAAAGTCTAAACCTCTCCAAGATGTTTATCTATATCCATAAAGTGTGTTGGTAAGTTTTTAGAATCTTTTCTATCCAGTTTCGAGGATTATTTTACAGATATAGCCATGCTCTGATGATATCATCCTTGGAACAAATTAAAAAAATGAAGTAGTGCAACTGAAAGAATCCCAAAGAGAAGAGAGTTTTAAAACTATGGTTCAATTGCCTTGATAAGTTACAACTTGAGACTACAGTATACCCATTATGAAAGACAATCGAAAGAAATATAATTTCTATACAATCAAGATACAAGAATACAAGAAAAAGAAACTCCATGTCCTTCTGAACGGACATCATGATGTATTGCTACCCCTACCCACGGTTATGTGATAGCATAGAACTTCTCTCCATTTCAGCATCCTCATCCATTGAGATCCTACTCCAACCAGGTCTTCTCAAGGAGAAAAGCTTGGTCCGATCAAATCCTGATCCTCTAAATCCATTCATCCTTGAAGATACCATGGGCATTACAAGAACTGAAGACGCATTGATCGAGTCCTCTCCTAGACCTAATGATAGTGTACAAGCAGTCTGCATAATAAATGGATATATAAATGTTAGTATTTAAGCATCATTATCATTTCTTTTGGAGAGGGAGAATTGATTCCAGTTTGAAGTACCTTTGCCTTGCTCAGTATAGATGTAGCCTTTACCAGTAGCAGTTGCCCAAATGATCTTAGGTCCCTTATTTCTGTCTCTTCAGATGGCAGATTAAGAAGCCTGTAGTAATAAAATATTTTCAAAAGTTTAGGGAATATCACATAGATGTTTGAATTGTTTTCTCTCTGCAATGCAACTATGTTGTCTGCACTTCCTTTTTCAAAGACAAAATAAGTTATCTTAAATCTTCATATCCACTAAAAAATGAATTGTTTATTTTTCTTGTAAGAATCCTAGAAAGAAAAATGATTTTTCTTTTGATTGGGAAGGAAAAGATGAAATAGAAAGAAGGATCTCAATTCATTGTGTTCGAAACTCTGGTTGTCAGACTTCCCCCACAGTTTCTTCCATAAAATCTTACAAACAAAAGACACACTACAATCTGCAAGAATTCTCCAAGCAGGAAATTCCCAGGGTTAAGATCAATTATCTGTGCAGGAATTGTATTTTACCTGTCCATATCATCTGCAATTACTGGAGATGTTGAAGAAAGCAAAGAAGAACCCCTCACTTCAACACCTGGGAAAGAAAAAGAAACAAGGGAAAAGGGAAAAGGAAAGAAAAAAAATATTAACAAGATTAAAATGAATCCTGGATTTGTCTCTGACCTCACAGGTAAAAGAAATGCAAGCATTACTAGAAATACCTTTTGTTTCATCAGGTGCCAATAATGAAATGCCTATAAAGACAGACATCATTCCCAGTACAAACATTGTTGTCCTGAGTGCATCAAAGACCTGTAAAGAATCACTAATTTATTTACCATGCTGCATTAAGGCAACCATAAATGGTAAATGATAGATATCCACATTAAATTATGTTAACCTGATATTCCTGAAAGTATACAAATCCTGTACAAATGGAGAAAAAGGTCCAAGCAATCTGAAACATTGGGACAATAAGAATTGCATCGAACAGTGACAGGCCTTCGTTCAATCGTGCCATCTGGGAAAGTATAAAAACGTTTGATGTATAAAAAATAGGCAACTCCAAAAAAGCATGGCAAAAGCAAAAATACTTGACATCATATCCAAATTAATGAGTCATGCAAGTAAATTGTTACCCAAAATCCAGCTGTGCTAAGAAACAAAAGAAGCATTGAGTATGTGAACCAGCTATGCAACTTATAACTGCTGGACATGGTCAATCTTAACAGATTAGACCTGCAAAAAATATATATAACATGAGATTTAGAAACAAAAAACCCTAATACATTACAAGGATGTAAGTCAAAAAGGAAGTAGCATCTGAAAAGGCCAATTTACAGGGATTTTGCAAACAACACTGAGCATGATCCTACAGCACCAGAAACAACAGCATAGGAGAAGGGCAGCAACATGTGCCAACAAGGATTAAGATCATGTCCAGATACAGCAAGAACAAACTCTCCTCTCCTGCATATTCCACTTTTTAGTTGTTAATAAAAGCATATAACTACAACTTGATGACTTGTTTAATATCAGGGAAAAGAGAAAATCAGAACATGGAAAACAATTGGCCCTACAATAATTGAGACATGCATAGCTGATCCATGAATACTGATAAAACGTAAAGAAACAACCCTCACCTGTAAATGGAGTGATGCACAGCTACAACCAAGACCAAAATAAGGCAGTAAAGAAGGAATATGATGTTTCTGTACTTCTCCACCAACTGGTCTGGTGTGTAAACTGCAAAAGAGAGAATACATGGAATTCTTTGTCTGTGGAGAAAATTAACAATGCCCCAGCTACACAGTTTATATACATGCAGGGGAATGGGCCTTTCTAGGAGGTTACCTAACACCAAAAAACTATGCAATCAGAAGATGGTAACAAAAAACCCTATGGCCTTCTTCTGGAAAACCCCTAAGGAGGTATCGAATTGTATATAGTTTTTTTTGTGGTTTGTGTGTGTGTGTATATAAGGTGGCATTTGGGAAACATTAAATAAATAATCTTGCAGGTAAGATAGGTTCCAGTTGGCATCGCTACTCAGATAATTAGAATAATATCTACAACTCCATGGTGAGAATAAGTACCAGGAGACTGGTGATTGCCGAAAGCCACAAGAAAGATATTTCCAATAACAATAAAGGTGGTGGCAACCAGTACCCTGCAAAATGGGCAACCTTTTATGATTTTCAAATTGAAAATTCAGCAACAACCACAATTCTGAAAACAACAAATTCTCACTTCTGATATGAACATACTTGACGGTCACCATCTTGTTCAAGACAAAGTATGAAAATGCAATGTTTGATACAAACTGAATAGATCCCAGGGCTGCAAGAAGGGACTGTACCAGGAAAAAAGATGTAAACAAAAAGTAAAGGAAACGCTATATTCATCAAAACATGTTTGAATCTAAGCAAGCACAGATTGATTATCTGTGAAAGAAGAAATGGAATCAGTTGATATGTAACACTAAATAAAAATAAATGTAAGTTTACTTAAATACTATTTATCCTTCAACCAAAGGATACTGACCTGGGCAGCATATCCAAAAGAAATGAAGTTAAGGCAGTTCCCTACAGCAAAAAATAGAATACCTGCATATAAAGATTCTTGTGTTTAACATCAGTTGCAATAGCTTTCAAATGGTTCATTTAAAATGTTCTATGCATAATACTGGACAACTTAATCTTAAAGAACCAAGCATGATCAGCCTGAACCGTACCAACTCTCCAAGTCTGGAAGTATATGATCGGCTTCAAGACAATATTTCCATTGGTTCCATCATTTTCTAGCATAGAAAGTCGTTCTCTCTGCAAGAAATTCAGTCAGAATCATTAAAACCTGCAATATGGTGTGCATCAGAGAAAAAAAAAGTTAAGAAATAGTTTTATGCTCATCAGCAAGATTTCAAACTTAACCAAGTATTGAAGAATGTCATATGTATGTAAGTAAATAACTAAAACATGTGCATATTAGTAGACATATAAATTAAAATAACTTTCACTTGACTATTCGTAGGCAGTAAGAGAGGATTCTGATGGTTCTATGCAACATGTTTCCAACAAAATCAAGTACCTGATCATGACCCAACTTTAGAAGATTTGTCCCAAAGTTTATGGCAATGCTACCAATAACGTTGATAAATGCTCCAATAACCCAGCCCCCCATGGGTTACTGATGTCAACAAGCACCTACGTGTAATTGAAAACTGATCTCAGTCTTGATGCATCTACTGATAGTCACGTAATTTTGATCTAGTAGCGCAAGTCTGAAGGCAACAAGTTGAAATTGATCCATCATACAGTCCAAGGATCCCCTTCAAGCGAAGATTTGCATATGAATAGAAGTTGTTCTGATACCTGAACATTTTGAGGAGACTAAATGAAGGTGTATTCCCTTGGTAGGATAAGACATCAACTATCTTATGGCATATTGATTTGAATTCTGTCTGTCTTAACCATGCGTTAAAAGAGATGATGAACAATCCAATTACTCCTCGGCCTTTCAATAATAATAAAAACGAAATGAAAGAAATATTATGGCAATTATTCTAACCAATGTACCAAACTTTTCCCCAATAAAATAGATCTACAGCTAAAAAACAAGTAATAGAAATATGTCGATTGGACATACTGATCAAAAAATATACATGTCGTTTGGACATAAAGAACCGCAGAAAAGTTGGCAGTAGAAGTTACAATCTTGCCTAGCATTTTCATGAATAAAGCATCATTTTTTTTCTAATTTGCTTGAAAGTACAAAGGCGCTAGTGCCGGATCTACCTTGGAATACTCAGTTCATCAGATCAAACGCTAACAAAGATTTTAAGGATAAAAAAAAACGCAAACAAAGATTTTAGGATAATCCAATTCAGAAATGGACACTAAGGAGACGGTAATTACTATTGAACTAAAACAAGAAAGAGGGGAAAAGAAATGAAAAAAAAAAAAAACAGAAAAGAAAAGAAGTATCAACCTTTACTCTATCGCATCATCGGCTGATTCAACGCAAATAACTATTCCAGCTAATAAACGACATTCACGTGAGGCTTCAAACGGCATTGCTTCCCCGATCAAATAGGCTCCAATAAAAATCGACAGACTTAGAGGTAACGCAGAAAAATCAATTCAATGGTTTGCAGAAKAATATAGATCTCGAAGACCTTGATTGCTTAGGAAGAGGAGAGAATAAAAGGGAAAAGACAGATCGACTTTCAAATCAAAATAATGGAAAGTAGACAAGCTTACCGTGAAAATAGAGTTCTTTCAATCAAAGAAATATTCTAGAGAGCTGATGATTCAAGAATCAGTGAAACCATCCAAGCGATTGAAGGGAAATGAAAAAGGAAATTAAGAAGCGGGGAAAAAGAAATAAATCAAATATGTCTGGTACGTTTGCACTTGCACAGACGGCGAAAAGAATTAAGGTAGGGATTTGACGGGCCAATCACATAAACAAACGGGCGTGAAAACTATGTTTACCGACCGCTTTTCCCGCCGTACTCAACCGTCAAGCCGTATTTTCTTTGTATAATGTATTTTATAAATAAATGTTCTTAATTAATTTGGGGAAATTTCCGCGTACTTATGGCCTACTTTGCCCCAAATTTTAAAATAGAACAATTTAATATCCAAATTTTTTTAATAGAGAGACAAAGAACTGTTCATTTTTTATTAATGTTTGAATGGTTGATAAGAGAATTAAATGACATTTAAAAAATATTTATATTTTTTTAAATGTCACTTAACAATTCAGATACTGAATTAATGCTTTTTAAAAAGGGACTAAAGTGCTATTATACTCAATATAAAGGTATTAATTAAGAATTTTCCCTTAATTTAATTTTCGTTTTCTAATTAAGTAATAAATAAATATTAGATGAAAGCAATAATAAATAAATATTATAATTTAGAATACATCCCACACAATTAAAGCTCCGTTTGGACAAACTTTTGTTTCATGCTCTTTTTACTTGGATGACTAAACGTGTCATTCATGGTTATGGAGAGTCAAAAACTGCGACTGTGAGGAAAAAACAGCAGGGATGTTTGGAGCTTCTTTGAGGATGACACGTTAATACGTTATGAATCTTGTGATGCGTTAGGGTAGAAGAAAATTTCGAAAGAATGTTCTTTTACGGGTAAGGGATTTAATGGTATCATGCGCGGAAGCTCAAAACAACCGCCCGTGCATGTTTTGACTGAAAGACATCATACCAAAAATGTTTTGACCAATACAACTTCCCATAAATTTTGGTAAAAACCCACTTAATTGATTCTACTTTATATGATGCTTATTGATTGGTTGCAATTTTTTCAGGCATTATGTATAAACATTTATAGATTCATAACAATTGTTTCTTTTGAAAATGTTTTGTTCTGTCGGATGTCAATAATTAGTTTTTTGGGTTAAATACTTGAACTATCATTTTGGTTTACTAAATGGACACAAATCTACCCTATTATTTAAGAAATTACTTTATATTGAACATAAAAAGTATATGATAGGTTTGTGTCCATTTGCTAAATATAGTTTTCCGTATGATTTTTAAAATCATGTAAATGTTGGGAAATGGGGTTATTGAAACTTTGGAGGAGAAGTTTTGAGGCATGTCTGAAGATACTGTTTTTATAACGTTATTTGCCTTCACTCAGTTTTATTGAGTTTGCTATTGGGTTACAGACAAATCCGTTCCCATTATACAACAGAGCTTTGAGCGATAATCTACAATCAACAAAATTGAAGAATCACCGAATTAACCTTTTTGTGAGACTATAGCAGACCAGATTGAGAGAGAGAGTGAGTGATTTTCGAAAATGTTGCGTGTTAAAAGCCTAATTTATGTTTAAAAGGATCAACAATCATATCGCACTAAAACCAAAGCTGCAATTCGCGAGCCACACGGGTGCGCGCAAAAGTGTGCCTCTAAAGCGCCTCATTACACCACACACACGTGTRCACGCACATTGCGCAATATCAAGTCTCCATACTCTCCTTTTCAATTTCTAAAGTGTGTAAATCATATCCTATTAAAAAACCCAAAACAAAACTTATAAATATCTAATGTGGGACAAGTTCAAAACTAGTTTTAGTAATAGAAAAACTATTTTCTAAAACAAATGTGTAGGTGCAATTTCTTATGTAATTGACCAATTAAACCCATTAAATTTAATATCTAATGAAATTAAAATCCAATAGTAAATATGTTGTGTATTTGGTACTGTAGTTTTTATAAGTTTTGTTTTGCAAGTGTTTTCCATTTGCAATTATTTCATTTCACCTATTCTTTTAACAAAAAAACACTATAATATATTTATAATGACAATTGTATTTATAAAATAAGTTAGCTTTTTCAAATTTCAATATGCCGCATTACTTAGTGATTCAAAATCATAAAGACGATTCGATCCAAGAATAATTAATTTAATAATTCTAAGAACACCTCTTTGCCCGAATCCCGAAACTAATCATTGCAATAATGTTTTTTTCAAAAATGGATCACCAAATGTGATTTTCTTACCAATTCCTTTTAGTTTAACTGATGATGCCACATCAACAAAAACAGAACACTTGTGAAAATCTCGGATACTACTCTATCTTGTTGGGTGATTCCAATTGACACAAATGTGCCCTTTTAAACATTTTGGGTCGTAGTTTGAAAAAAAAAAAAAAAACATTTTGGGCCTGTTTATAAAAAATCAAATAAAAGAAATTTTTGGGCCGTTTTGCCATTTAATGGATACAAAATATCTTTCACGGTTTGTTAAAATTCAAAACATACCCTTGACTTTTTCTCCATCTTCTTCTCTCATGTTTCTTCAAGGCAAGCAGCCAAATGAATAGAGGTAGTAACCATAAACAAACTTTCCAATGTCTCCTTTAAACGTCTGATAACTCTACCCCAACTCACCTTGTATTAGTTATGATCTCAAGACATGTATGGTTGCAATGGCTTTTCGGGACGTTGTTGAAATCCTGTATTGAATTGAGATCAGATCCAAATGCTTGACACAAAGGGTAAAGAAAAGAGGGAAGAATAGGAGGGACGTCTTTTGTTGGTAGGTGATCTCAAATTTAATTGTTGGGTGATCGCAACGAGGGGAAAGATATAGGATGTTGTAGCTTTGTATGGGTGGTCCGAGATGAAGAAAGATGGTGAAAAGGGGAAAACAAGGGTGGTCGGAGATAGTGTTGACATTTTTTACCCCAACTCACCTGCCTGAAAGCCCACCATGCGACCCATACCCATCCATCCCAACAATGGGTCAATACAGGTCAAGCAGCCCATTAATGTTAACAGGAAAAGGGTCAATGGTGGGTTGAGTCAAGGATACCCATAGATTAACATTTATCAGATTTAACTACGGTTGGGGTGAGGTTTAGTAAAGGGTATACCCATTAGGTCATCAAGTGACCCATTAAGGTCATAAGGAAAGGGTCAAGGTGGGTTAGGTTTAGGATACCCATGGGTTGACATTTATTAGATTTAGCTAGGGTTGGTGTGAGGATTGATCAAAGGCACCCCTTACGGTCATAGGGGGAAAGGCTCTCTCTCTTTCTAATCTCCAAAGATGGTGAAAGAGTTTCTCCTCCTTCACGATTTTGTCTCATTCAAAAGCTTCTTCAACCTTCAAAACAAGTTCTCGTCGTGGCAATATTGGAAGAAGCTCTGGTTGCGTATGGAATCAGTGTAAAATGTTATTAGTGTAAAAATACACTGATGACGTTTTATATTGAACCAAAAAGTGATCGTTTCTTTTTTAAAAATAGTGATGAGTGAAAGAATGTAAAATTTTACATCAATAAAATTAATGTAATTTTTACCAAATACATAAAAAAATGAAAGAAAACCAATATAAATTTTACATCAGTTCTTAATTTATATTGCATTAGTTTTCAATCTCACACAACAACACCTTCTTAAGGACGGCCTCCCTCAAAAGTTTCTTGAACGATGTTACCTGAAGTCGAGTGGAACATCTACATTTGGAGACAAACCACAGCGATAATCAATATTAAAGACTTTTCCCTTTCAATATGAAGCAAAACCCAAACTCGTCGACTTGGCTACCCCGAAATCCCATAGCTCAAGTTTAAATTATCAGTGAACGATATTCATCGATGAAGACCTCTCTCCCTTCAGAAATTTCAATGAATGCCCAATACGACAATTGAAGTCGCAAGCTTTTACAACAAACACTTTCCTTCCCCAATTCCTATTTTAGATAAAATATATGTTTTTTAACATTTTTGTGCTTTTTTAATGTACCATTTTTTATTTTTGACTTTTATTTAATATTTTATGTAATTTATAGTTTTGGTCTAAAATATAAGTATTTTTTGAATATTTTATTTATGTTGTTTGCACTTTATGCTATATACTTAGTGATGTAACCGTTTTTGGTCATGTACCAATTTTTGTGATGTATCAATTTTTTTGGCTAAGTGTCTCGTCATTTGGCTTGCTCCCAGGAGAGGATGGTGGAGTTCCCTGGTGGTGAGCTACTTGGTGACAAGCTCCCTGGTGGTGAATTGCCTGGTGATGAGCTCTCTGGTTGTGAGCTACTTGGTGACGAGCTTCCTAGTGGTGAGCTGCCTGGTGATGAGCTCCTTGGTGGTGAGCTGCCTGGTGACGAGCTCCCTGGTGGTGAGCTACCTGGTGACGAGCTCCCTGGTAGTGAGCTGACTGGTGACGAGCCCCCTGGTGGTGAGCTACCATGGTGGACTCGTCATTTGACCTGCTCCTAGGCGGCCTATAACTCAGGGGATGGTGGAGCTCCCTGGTGTAGCGCAACCTGACTGCCCTCTGCATGAGGTGATCTCCTCTCCTTTGTAGGCAGCGGGAGCTGAGGGACCTGCGAGAACTCCATATTTTCCTCCTCTTTGTAGGCGACAGGAGCTGAGAAACCTGCAAGAACTGAATCAGAGGACCCGGGGGTATTTTCCTGGCGGGGACTCTCCGATGCCTAAGTTAGCATTCTGATTGTAGGGAGGTTGGAGAGAAATGAGAGAGCTAGAGAGCAGGGATTACCTCCGTTTTTCTCTTTTCTCCTTGTCTTTGGGGTCGGAGTCCTTATATAGCGGTGTCCAATCAAATCAGAAGTAACCGCCCCTATCAAGTCAGGCATAACCGCCTCTGTCTCTCTGCCGCAGCCATTACTGCCAGAGCTGAGGCGGCGGGTGCAGACAGTTGTTGTAGGGTACAACTCTGCCAAGCAAGGGACAACTCTCAAGGCTGGCAGCCACGGCGCCGCTTGGCAAGAGACGTGTGCACAGGTCTCTGGATCTGTCAGGTACGATTGTCAGGCAGGAGATCTTCCTGTGATACGCCGAGTTGCCTCTAAGTGGCGAGCTACCTATGCCGAGCTTCCTGTAAGTGTCGAGCTCTTTGTAAGACGCCAGGCTGCCTGTGGAGTGGCCAGCTGCCTGTAAGTGGCCAGCTGCCTATGCCGAACTTCCCCTGAGTGGCGAGCTACCTATGCCAAGCTGCTCCTAAGTGGCGAGCTACCTATGCCGAGCTACCCCTAAGTGGCGAGCTACCTAGTTGTCAAGAAGCTGCACTTAGTTGGCACGAGGTGGCAGGTGTCATATTTTCACTGGAGGGCCAAATCCGCCCTCATCATTTAGCTATAATTTCTTTTGAAAATTTTATCATTTTCTATGCCTTCAATGAATTCTAAATATGTTTTTATTTAATTTTTGAATAATTTCTTACACATTTTGTATAATTTATGCTAATGTATAAAACTGTGTTTTTGAATTGTCGTTGACCCAGACGGTTTGACTGTCTGGCCCGAACCCAAAAGCTGTCCAAGCAACCAATTCTCATTTCACCCTTAACCCGTTCCTGGGTCAGAAACCATTGGTTTGGTCAAAGAACCGCCAAACTGGTTTATGTCCAAGTCGACTAGGCAATGCCTTCCATTCTTCAAAGTCATAAATAAGAACTAAGACTTCGAATGGACCGAAGAGTGTCAGTTCAAAGCCATGAATAAGAATCAAGACTTCGAATGAATCGAAGAGTGTCAGCTCATACTTGACGAGCTAAAAATGTATCTAAGTTCATCACCCTTGTTGATCATTCCAGAACCCAGATACAAGCTAAAATTCTACATTTTTACAAGTGATGAGGTAGTCAATTCGGTCATAACCCGTGAAGTGGATAGAGTGCAGTGACCTGTCTATTATGTAAGCAAGGTTTTGCATGCCGTTGAAACAAAGTATCTCAATATCGAGAAGTTGGCATTCTCACTGGTGCTAGCAGCCCACAAGCTGCACCCTTACTTCTAAGCCCATACCATTGTGGTATTGACTGATCGATCTCTGAAGCAAGCCCTTCAGAAGCTCGAGGTCTTAGGAAGATTAATAAAATGGGTAATCGAGCTTAGCAAGTATGATATCTGATTTGAGCCACACCCAACGATCAACGCCTAGGTCCTGATAGGTTTGACGTATGGAATGGAGACTATCATCCCGACCGGGATCAAAGTTCTAACCTTATGATTTGAGACGTATGATGAGGAGGTTAATGATGATAAGCTACGGGTTAACCTCGACTTAGTGGAGGAGGTCCATGACTTAGCCTACATTCATATTGCGGCATACTAACAATGGATAATTCAATAGTACAACGCCCGAGTTAATAAACGTCAATTTCGAATTAACAACTTGATACTCATAAAGATTGTGGTAATTAAGCCCGAAAAGCCCACAATTCCAAACAACATCTAAATCAAAGCCTTAGTTTGGTTGCCATGGTGCCGCCTTAAATCAGATAGATGAAATGAATTCTTGGTGTGGCCACTATAGTACATATAAGGCCATGTACTTTACCCTTGCGCTAGACAGTGTCGTAGCAAGTGAATATAAGCTGCGTCATACTCCATTACGACTTACGAGTTACGACCCTCCAGTAAAATACGCGTACGCCCGCCTAACGCCCATCCCAGCTATGGAAATTAAAAGCAGTTACATGATTTATTTTCATCATTTACCTCATTAACTGTCCGTGTTTCACTGCGTAATTGGAAAAGAGTGTTGCGACCGTAGCAGATGTGTTCTCCACTCGGTGGCCCTTACTGCCTTACCAAACTTATCATTGTGCATTTTTATTTTTAATTCTCATTTCCCGCGGTCCACTTCAATCAAATTGGTCCTTCGAGGATTCGACTTCGAATTTTCGAAATGCAACTGGTTCAGGACGAAGAGGAGGATATCTCCGTTGCGGAGAGCCTCGACGATGACGGTTTACCATCTCTTGAGCTCTCACCAGAGTCAAAGGACCGCGGAAGAGAACAAAATGGAAATAAGGATCGAGTGATCGAAGCTGCAGAGGGAAGCTTCGTTTCAGATTTTTATCGCAGTGGAACAGATTGGTCATGCTTGCTGGAGAAGAACACGCAAGAGAGACCTCCAGAAAGAAAGCTTAAACAGACCAATCTTTTCGAGCTCTGGGGCTTCAAGAAGCCCGACGATTCAAATGCCAAACCTAGGGTTTCGTCTTTGTCTTTAAAGAGGACGAGGACGCAATGGATCTCTGTTGAATCGGTCAACGATCGGATGAATCCGAAGGTTCCCTGTCTGGGCAACAGGAGCAATGGGGGAGGGAATAATCTCAGACGTGTCTGCCCCTTCTACAAGAAAATCCCTGGTGCGTTTATCTTTTGAAGATGTAGAAATTCAGTGTTGTGGCGGGACTAGAACTTAGGAGCATCTGAAAAGCTCAGTTCATTATTTAGTACTTTGGCCTTGTACAAATACCTGCGCAAGTAGTTTATAATAATAGAACAAAAGAAAGAAATTAAGATAAATTTGGAGCCAAAAAAGTAGTATAAAGCATGTTCTTAATGCATTTAACTTTTGGATGACTAAGAAATAGGAAATTTAGAAAGAAAGTTTTAAAAAGCCAAGCACAGGCTATTTGGAATTCATGTATAGCATCTCCACGTTATAATGGGCTTTGGTGTTAAGAGAGAACTTCTTAATTGTCCTTGCTACACATTAACATTTTAAGCCTGGAATAGCCTTAGTGGAGGGTTGAGCAAGTACCATGGAGGAACCCGAGGCAATGAATGACTTCAATTTTTTTAATTTGTATGGTAGAGAAGGGTTGCTTTCACTCGAAAATCTCTCACTTCTGACTTCTGAGGTGTGGATGACTATTGGGAAATGCAAGTATATAAAAAATAGACTATTTTGTCAAACACTTGTGGTTAGCAAACCTCATCAGAAAACTGATGGAGGAAAAAAAATCCAGTACTATCAGTTGCACTACACAGTATGCTTGGATTATTACATATAAAAATGAATTAAACTCCTCATATGCAAAACATAATTCCTATTTACAAAATGTAGGCATATGAACATTGCTAAACAAAAATATGATGAAATAATAATCCATAAGAACAAAGATTTAATTCTTTATGCTTCATTATATACAAAGGGACTTGCTGTGCTTGCAGAAACTTCTTTCACTGTAGATGCATTTCGCTATGGCCTTATCGAAGGATGCTCAGGATATTTTCTTAGTCACTTCCATTGTGATCATTATGCTGGCTTGAGCAAGAGGTGGTCATATGGTTCTATCTATTGTACTCCTCTTACTGCTCGGCTAGTGAAAAAGTTCCTTTTAGTAAATCCTTCGTATGTACTCTGTCTCTGGTTCTTCTCTTTCAGTTTTCTATTTTTGATTTCTTTCTGCTTATACATTACAGGAACTACATTTAGTTGCTGCTACCCAATCTGATTTCTGTTAGTATGGCTCTTTATTTGCAGATTTGTCCATCCTCTGGAACTAGATATTGAATATGTCATTGATGGAATCAAAGTAACTATGCTTGAGGCTAATCATTGTCCTGGGGCAGCTCTGGTACATTTTCGTCTTGAAAATGGTCAATGTTATTTGCACACTGGAGACTTCAGAGCATGTAAATTGATGCAGTCATATCCCCTTCTTGTAAACCATCGAGTCAATGTGCTTTACCTAGATACAACTTACTGCAACCCAAAATACAGGTAAAAAAGTGTCTATGATTGGTTTAAGCTTCTTCAACTCTCTCCTTCCTTTCTTGTTATTTATTTTATGCTTTTTCAATTATTGTGATCCAAGATTTGTTGCCTCAGGTTTCCTTCTAAGGAAGATGTACTGGACTTTATTGTGAAGACAACTAAGAACAGTCTTAAGAGGCATCCAAAAACCCTTATAGTTGTTGGAGCATATAGCATTGGGAAAGAATGTGTTTATCTTGCTATTTCTGAGGCATTAGGGGTATGCTGGTTTGCATTTTTCTGTTATTAATGGACATGAGCTTTACTGTTGTCAGTTGAAAGGCAGAGAATGGTAAATGAAGGTTTAGTTGTATGCTTGTTCCATTGTTATAAAAGTGAGAGGTGCAACTAAAGCATGAGGGGAGCTGCATGCTTGCTTTATAAGGTGCTGCTTTGAAAAAAAAATGAAAAGCTTAAGATATAATATAATATTTCAAAAAGCTTATTAGTTGAGCTGGTTATAGCAGTGTTTTAAAAGCACAAGGGCCTTCAAGCCTTTGTAGTGCAAGGTACAAGGCATGGCATGTCTCATTCAAAGCAAGGCACAAAATTTTCAAATAAATTAAAAAACAGAAATACATAAAAACCCGGGTTTTAAAAACTAAATGTTTTAAAGGTCCTATTGGCTCAAATAAAATACACAAGCATAATATGTAAAACATATTCAAACTGAAAATGTGAAAGTGAAAACAAAATACGTGAATCATATATTCATACTAAAGTGCTTCAAATGCTCAACAATCCAGGCATTTTAAACTTTTAATTTGTTTATTTATCTCTTAGTTGCATTATTTCAAGTAGATAATGTAATATTAAACAGCTTGCATTCTTAATCCTAGAAGATTGACCCTTTGCCTCTATGAAGGCCCCTTGAAGCAAGTGCAGACAAATCCCTGTGGGGGTTTGGCGTAGCTGCTTGACCCAAATTTTTTGGCTTGTATACATAAAGGTATGGGAGAGGTAGGCTTATTTTGGTTAACTAACATTTTCAATAAGATAATGAAAGAAAAGAAGATGCTTGATGATTGGAAAAAGAGTAATATAATGCTTATATTTAAGAACAAAGGTAATATACAAAAGTGTAATAACTATTGGGGGATAAAGCTCATGAACCACAATATGAAACTTTGAGAGAGAATAATTGGACAAAGAGTATGACATGAAACAAGTACATCAGAGAACCAATGGAAGCTATATTTCTTTTGAGCCTGTTGTTAGTTTACTATTACTGTTACTATGCTGTCAGTATGTTTTATATTTGTTTTTTATTAGAGTGCACCACCAACGGTATAATTGTAATTCCTTCTTTATTTTTATCAGCTTATTATAAATAGAAGAATGGGTGCTGCCAGCTAGGATTTTTTTGCTCCCTAAACACTCTCTTCTTCTCCTCTTCCTTCTCTCACTTTTCTTTATTTCTTGGATGAAAACAGAGATGATTGATAGAAAAGTTTAGAGAGAAAGAGAAATCTCCATATGGTGTTTGTTGATCTACAGAAGCATATGATAGAGCCTCTAGAGAAATAATATGGTGGGTCTCGGAAAAGAAAGTGGTTCAAAATAGGTATATARACCTAATTAAGGATATGCATGATGGTGCAACAACCAATGTTTGAACCTTTGTGGGAGAGACATCAGATTTTACAGTTACAAAGGGGCCTCACTCAACACTTAACCTTTATTTATTTATACCAGTCATGGATGAATTGACTAAACATATTCAAGAGGAGGTCTCGTGGTGCATGTTGTTTGCTTGCTTTCATAATTGTTGATTAGGTGATGCTTTGGCATAATAGGATGGGTCATTTATCCTTTCAGGCCTTGAAAAGTTTGTTTCCTAGTTTATTTGAATCCGTCCAGATGTCTAGTTTGAAATGTGAGAGTTGTGAGCTTGCAAAACATTGTAGGACAACCTATTCGTTAAGTAACAACAAGAACAATATTCCTTTTGAAATTGTGCATACTGATGTTTGGGGACCCTATCATATTACTGCCATGGGGGGGTACAGATATTTCCTGTTATTTGTTGATGATTATACTCAGTTTTTTGGGTTTACCTTATGCGTTCTCGAGATGAGGTCCCAGCATTAACTCGGATCTTTCATCAAATGATTTTAACCCAATTTGGGGGCAAAAATAAAATTTTTAGATCCGATAATGCAAAATAATATTTTGCAAACCCATTAGCCTCCTACCTGCTTGACTATGGGATTATCCATCAGAGTACCTGCCCACATACACCATAGCAGAATGGGGTTGCTGAAAGAAAGAATAGACACATATTGGAGGTAACCAGAGGCATTATGTTTACCTCAAATGTGCCTATACGTTTTTGGGGGGATGCTGTTCTTACAAGAGTATATCTCATCAATCGGATTCCCTTACGGGTTCTTGACATGAAATCTCAGATGTAAATCAGTCCTCTAATATCAAGATTAAACTTAGTGATTAGCAGAATAGAACAAATCTGAATAATTGTATAAGAGAGGAAGATGGCGAAGAGAAGAGGTAAGAGAAGAAGAAGTCGAATTAATCACCCTTCTCCTCTAACCCTATTTTATTAATCTCTAAAAAATTGATGATGACAAGTATACCCTTAAGTGGGCAGCCAACTTGGCTGTT